TGGAATGAAATTAAGCATACATTCCGTTATCTCCAAGGGACAATCGATTTGGGACTGTTTTATTCTAACAATAGAAAACATGAAATAATCGGTTTTGCAGATGCAGGATATCTCTCAGATCCCCATAAAGCAAGATCTCAAATTGGATACGTTTTTACGATAGGCGGAACTGCATTCTCTTGGCGTTCTCAGAAACAAATATTAGTTGCGACATCTTCAAACCATGCCGAGATCATTGCACTTCATGAAGCAACTAGGGAAAGCATCTGGCTCAGAAACATGACTCAACATATTCAACAAGCCAGTGGACTATCGAACAATAATGACCCGACGGTGATATACGAAGACAATGCAGCATGTGTCGCTCAAACAAAAGAAGGATACATTAAGAGTGACAGAACTAAACATATCTCGCCAAAGTTATTCTTATATGCGCAAGAGCTTGAACGAAACAAACAAATCAAAGGTCAATACAATCGATCAAGCGATAATGCAGCAGATTTGTTTACAAAGGCGCTTCCGACGACAATATTTCGAAAGCACGTGCACAATATTGGGATGAGACATCTTCGGGATTTGCACGGATAATAACTCGAGGGGGAGTATGTGCGGCTGTACTCTTTTTTCCTTATCTCGATTTTTTTCTCACGGGGTTTTTCCGGATAAGATTTTTAACGAGGCAGCATAAACGCACATTTAATAGTGGTAACTCCAAGGGGGAGTATTATGTACAAGTGGATTTACCACTAAAGATTATTTTTTCATTATTGTATTTAAATGCATTGTAATGTGTGTCACTTTGCCTATAAAAGGCAAGAGATGTATTACATTTTAGAGTACGAATGAAGTGAAGAAAGAAAAGAAAACTTAGTACAATTTATATCCGATTTTTATACATTGTGTTCTTTATATTCCTCGCATTTTATAACAGTTTTCTATTTTTGAAGTTGGGATATCTAATAATTTATAATAAAAAAAACTTAATGAATTAATAATATTATTTTAAATGCTGAATAACTAATTTGTATACATAATTAATTTTATCTCAAATAGAGAATAGAGTAGTGTTCACCTACCCATGGTGGGCACATGTTAATATGTCCACCGTAGATGTGGCATGCACACATTGATGATATATTATTTTGAACATATTCATATCACCAACTTGTGCATGCCACATTCACGGTAGACATATTAACATGTGTCCACCATAGATAGGTGAGCATTACTCACAAAATTTGGAAAGTAAGACTATAGCACATTATACAAAAAAAATAATAAATAAATTTTTATATAATTTAAATATATGCATATATATGGCAATCAATTTTAGTATAAAATATAGTAATTTTTATCCGAGACCTTATTTCAAAATATTTCAAAACATAATATTTTCGTAGGCTCAACTTGTCCTTAAATTATAAAGAGATTCTACAGTCTCGTTACCAACTATTCCGTCGGGTTTGGAACCGTTAGATCAACTATTCACGGCAGTTAGATCATCATCTAACCGGTATAAATCTCGACGTTATGATTCCATAACGAGACTATAACATTTCCCTAAATTCTATATAAATAAAAAATTCCATATTACGTTCAATCTACTTCTCTCTGCTGCTGCTTTTACTAAAGCACAGTTCAATTTCTGCTTCTCTTTCATTTCTGAATTTCTGTTTAGAGTAGTGACTTTCGTTTCGTTTTCTACATCTCACTATCTGCTTTGTACATACAGATAAAAACGAGTTTTTCCTGTACAATCATGGCTGCAAACAGATTCGCAACCATGTTGCACAGAAGCACCAACAAGATCACGCTAATCCTCATCTACGCCGTTCCCGAGTGGATTTTGATAGTCCTTCTACTGTTGAATTCCATTTTCTCCTATTTGATCACCAAATTTGCTCAGTTTTTTGGGCTTAAGCCTCCATGCCCCTGGTGTACTCGAATCGATCATGTATTTGATCCTGCGAAAGGAGATAAGAGCATGAACATTGATTATCTCTGCGGGTTTCATTTTAAAGAGATTTTAAAGTTAGGGTTTTGTTCAAATCATCGGAAGCTGGTAGATTCTGGAGACATATGCGATGATTGCTTGTCGTCGAGGCCAGAGTTCAAGGAATCACCAAGGTATTTCGGTTTGTTTGGGAAAATGAAAAGATTTGGGAATTTTGGGTGTGATTCTGAAAAAGTAGGTGAGAATGGTGAGATAAGCTTGAACTGTTCTTGTTGTGGTGTGACCATTGTTAATCATGATGGTAAAGTAGTTAAGCTACCCGATTTTTCGGCTGATTTATGTGATAATGTAAAGGCATTGGATGATAATAGTGAAAGTATTTTGATTTGTGAGTTTGAAGGAAATCTGGAGATTACAGACAAGAGGGAAGAAGAAAATGGCTATGTTTCTGTAGTTGAGAAAGAAAATGATGTGTCGGAGGAAAAATTGACAATGATAATGAATGATAAATCTGTGCAAGTGTGTTTTCAAGAAGATGCTCCTGTTCAAATCTCCTCTCAGCATCTGGAATTCTTTATGGACTATAGCGGTCATAAATTGGTCCCAATTGAATTGATCGACTCGGTTACTGAAGAGCACCATGTTAAGGAGATTGAAGGAGGTGATATTGCTGAAGATGAAGAAATTCGTGTGGATTCTGAAGTTGGGGGTGAAGTAAAAGAGGAGCTCCTTGTTGAGATTGGAGGCCAGAATCAGAGCACATTTCTTGATTTCTATACTTTTGAGGAACCTAAATTTGCTAAACTTGGCTCCATGTGCGTGGAAGAGGACGAGACGTCTCAAGGTTTTCATGCAGAAGGCTGTCATTTCAAGAGAGGGTTTGAAAACTACAGTGTCTTTCCACTGACCAAGTGGCCTGCGGAGGAGGCTACTGGAGTTCAAGAGCACGCAGGAGCTGGAAGAGACAACAAGACTTCAGATTTTCAAGCTGGTATATACATTTCTTTTATTCTTATTATAACTATCGGTTACAATACTATATATATTTAATCAAACTTTGAAGTAACGATGTATGAAATAATTGACTAAACCAGTGACGCCCTTTGCATAGATAATGCAGCACGAGAAGATATTACTCTGGGGAACAAGGAAAATGAGAATGATTCCGAGGATAACAATGAAAAAGAAGCGGATGTCTCAATTGGGATTAAGATTCATGACTTACATATAACAGATGAAATACAAACCCAAAGCTGTGGTCATACATGTGGATCCCTTCACGAAGATTATTTGACAACAAGTTCTGTCAATCTGTACCCAGACGATGATCATGGTAATAATCTGGATTTCTTAAAAACTACTATTAGTTCACTTAACGAGTAAAAATCAGCTGGCCCGGTTCCATTTGTCTTGTGTTTTTTGGACAAAATCGCATACTATTAAAGAGAATTGTTGATGCTTTTCAGATTTTGTTATTTTCTGGAACTCCATGATATTATTTGTTTTCCGTGAGAAAGTGTTTTCACCAATTTTTTTAGTTTTACTGTCTGAATTTTACTTGCGTGGCCGAGCATATGGTTTTTAATTGTGGGTTGAATTTTGTAGTCTAAGTTTTAACATTTGTTCTTTTTTAGGTACCGCACAACTTGAGGAACAAATGGTTGAAACACAACCCTCATCACCCAATATCCATAGGGATCACATGACAAATGATCAATGGGTTCAAACACAGCTAAAGGAGG